GAGCATACTAATATAAATTGGCCATCATATAATTGGTATGACATTAAGTCAGTGGTGAACTAGTGGTTAAAATGTGATGTTTCTGAGTCATATGTATGTACTTTCTAAGAGTTTTTAGACATCACTGATTAATGCATTCCCAAAGAGGGTTGATGTCAGGCAGGCGGCCGGTCGTAAAAACAATTAGCCAAAACTATTCACAACATGTAAAGCAGACCCTGGCTAAAGCTGGGAAATTGCCAGGTAAAATAAGATAATTGATATGACATAAATATGTATAAAACTACAAATAGTTTCACATAGTTTCACACACAAACGTGTTAAAAGGTCTAATTTAATATGTTTTATTTCTTTTATATTACATATAAATGCCCCTTTCATATAAATTATATTTACTTCATTAATTTCTCAATCATTCACCTCAGATGTAACGTGATATTGTGAAAATGAAATTATATGGCCGCGATCAAATTACACAATAATTTGGGCTGGAAATCCGCAAATGTGGAGAATATGGTTAAATAAACGTAATAGAGGTATTTGAATTTAAAACCATTTATTTAGTTCAACTTACTTTAATGTTAAAAATATTATTATTTATTATATTGATATATTGGTCATAACTGATGAAATACTTAATTAGAATATATATACAGTATGTACGCTCCTAATAATTTCATAACTAAATTACAGTAATAGTATTTTAATTTAAATGTACATGAGAGATTTATTTTATTATGTTACCATTTTTCTTTCAATAAATTTTAACATCCATCCTAACATAGATTACAAGTTTAAACATCCTATAAAATTATTTAATTATTAATTGAAGGAGGGGTTCCTTCGCTACATTTGGATTAATCGCAAGTCATGTTTATGCCATTTGAATCAAAAGTATTGCAGTTTAAAAGCGTCTGTTGCTTTTCTGTAATAGATTTCAAGTCTTTGTTAATAGAATTCCAATATCGAAATTAATTTGGCCGTCCTATAACACATAACCCATCCTTACTATGAACCACAAGATGGGATGCAAATGGAATTATAATTCTCATATTTGCAAATTTTGTAATGAAATTGATGATGCTTAAAGTCATAGCTAAGGAATTACTATGAACCAATTATTCTTAGATATTTATTTAATATATATACGTTATTTGAAATATAAACTGTAACAAAAAAATTGCCATATTAATTCTTTGTTATCTATTTACTTGTCTTCAATTTTCTTAGTCTTTCATTGGATTTCTCCTAATTTTTACGTTTCTCAAAAAAGTTTTTTTATAAACATAAACATTGATGTGAATTTTGTAACTGAAATATTTCAATGTAAAAAATTTTCGATCGTAAATAAAAAGCATTTCGCGAAATAGTCCGCTGAAAGAATATTTGATGGAGCCCTCGAAAAGCCGAAACTAGAGTATATTTGCCTTTAGAGTGTCGTAGTACATTTCCTTAGCAATATTTCCCACAGCTTTTGTTCTCAAACAGGATCTGAATGATTCTCGTAAAATACTTGTATTGCATCTACAAAAACAATGGAACTTTTGTATTCCTTAATTTTTTTGTTCCGAATTAAAAAGGGGTTGAATATCATCTCTTATTATTAAAAAAATCTTTTAAAAATAGAAAAATGAATGAGTGTCTCTCTTTAAATTGACACACAACCAGACAGAATATTATTCATAATAAAAATACTTTGCAAGGAATTAAATATTTTCTTCATAATTTAAGCAGTGCAACATAAAAAGAAGTTGCACTTTTTCTTATGGTCATGTTAATTTTGTTTATTATAATCATTTATTACAACCCTAATGTTATTCGTGTTTTTATCATTGGTATCCTAAATATTAACCTACTATTATATTTTTTATAAGTGTTTTTGAGAAAAACTAAACGAAACATATGACACAATAATACAATGCTTTCGTCCAGAGAGTAAAGTATGAAAAGAATATTCCAAGGAATTTGAAATATCTGTTTTAAGTTTAAGTTTATAAAAGAAATACTGAATCATATAAAACCTAATAAGTTTTTGCTGAGAGTTTTTGCTAAAGAAAATTTTAATTTTAAGGTAGAATTCATTTCTAATAAATTTAGTTTTATTTCATATAGATAAATACGTTACAAGTGAATGACTTCTAATTAATGAGTGCTGTACTTAATATTATCAATTCTATTTATTATAAGTGAAATATGCTCGTGGGTATATATATTATAATGGATAAATTCATATCCATTTTTTTTATTTATCGAGAATATTCTGACTTTTCTGTTTGATCTTAATAAACGCAAGTAGTTAAATCGACTTCTTGAACAATGCTCTATTCATTGAAAAAAAAATCCATACAATTTTACCTGATCTACAAGGCAGAAGACGTCTTGAACGTTAAATATAAAAAAATATGAACATTATTCTACTTTATAATTATTTCAAATAAATTAGTATTTCTTTTTGTTGCATACTCAATACTGTTCTATTAAATTTAACTAAAGTTAGATATGTAGAACGCTCATTCCTTAAGAAACCTTCGAATCTTGATACTAATGACGGCGCCTTAAATATATATTTTATACAAGAGTTATACTTTGTTCAAAATAAAGTGTATATTTATACATATTTCTTAACAAGGACTATCCAAAAATGTCCAGAAGTGTAGCGTGACTCGTAATAATGAGAACGTAGAATTAATTCACAGATATTATTTATAGCTCTTCTTAAGATTTCTGCTTTATAATTGTGGTGAATAACAAATCGGATCATCGCCTCCAATTTTATAAATAATCGCTTACTATTTTTAGTGCTAATTAACAAGATAAGAAAAGAAATATTAGTAACTCGGCGAGCTTCTCATGAGAACCTACATATTTTTTAAACTTCCTTCTGAATGAAATATCCTTTCATGTTACAATCAATATCCACCTGCTGTTCAATAAGAATTGAACAGATAAGCCTCATTTTATTTCTATTGTAATGAGAAAATTCTGATTGTAAGAGGTTTTTATGATTAATACTTTTTGTTCTTTGTTCTTCAAACTATTCTTACAACCTTTTTGAGGTTCTTTCGGAAAATTATATTAAAATCGATTCAGTAATTTTACCACGACAGCATAATATTAGACAGAAACAATCAGGTTTCCTTTCACAACAATCCCTGATAAAATCATCATATTCTGATAAAATGAAGACAATTAATTTAAAACATACATATGTTTTAAGTGTGGCGAGAGTTATAACATATAACACTATTTTTGTGCCTAGTTCTACATTGTAACTGCTTTTATTACATTGAGAATTTGACTACGATATATTATAATTGAATAAATCTCTTTGAAAGATTAGAATTATAACCAAAAATTACGAAAAGTTTCTTCTACTAAAACAACAAAAATAATAACAAAGTTTAAATAATAAAATAGTATTTTACGAACGTATAAGTGTTCCCATTCAAGCTTAAGAGAGTGCTTCGAATCGAATGTTAATAATTCAGGTGCATTGAAGCTCACCACAGTAAACACTCGTCAGAACAAATGTTTGATGCTTGCAGATCAAGCCCACAACCCTCGCTTTCAAATTGCTTTATTAACTGGATCTATACGAATTGGTATTCATTTAAAGCTTTGATCTGTAGACTGTATATTTATGAAACAATCATATATTAAGAAAATATTAATATACTAATAGTCTTTACGAAATTATTGTAATTAATTTATTATCTAAGATTAAGAATCGGAATATTGTTGTATGTATATGTAATGATTTTAATATATTTGTTTTAATTATAAAACTTATTTGTCAGAGCTACTAAAATATTATAATTTTCGACAGCATGTCACTGAATATTTTTTTTCAAATTATTGACCAAATTTTCGAACGTCCTTAAATATATCGTATGTATAGCCCAGTATTGTTTATTAAGAAAAAAATTATAATTTGAAATATGACTGTTATATATTTATAATTTCAAATATTGCAAGAAATTATTATATTTTTAAACTTATCTGGTGTTGAAAATTTAGGTACGAACCTTTGAAAGGTACGACTTGAGCTCACATTACGAATACATGGTTCTAACTTTAATTTATTCATATTTTAAGAGAAAATAATATAATCGCCATATATGCACTCTTTCTATGTATTTCAGTATAACGTATATTCCACGTCTAACAAAATTTAAATTTTCTTCATCAAGTAGCTATATCATTGTTTTAGATGTTTTAAATCTTAAAAAATACATTATTTCTTAATGCACATTGTCACGAAGATCCGAATATCATGACTGCGTCTCCCAGAATATATTATGAGGATGACACAAAAAGGATGCGGATAAGGGCGATTACATACGAGGCGTGTGTATGTATATTACGTTATCGTTCATTATTAAACAAAAATCAGTGTAAGTATTAATAAATAGATTATCATATTTATTTCAGATAATTCAATTCATCTAAAAATATGTTTAATATTATTTTATCTCCTACATTTTGATTACTATTAAGTAATCAAATCAAATGAACTTCAAATATTTTGAAAAATATACGCTGTAATATATGAATGTATTGAAAAATTCGTGTGTAATATACCTAAGACTGAATAATTCATCTACATCTTCACATGCGCTTGATACAAGCAAGGCTACGTGGCAGAATGAGAAAGTCATAATTTACATATTTATCTTAAGATCTCAAATTTTCACTATATTTTTTTTAGTAGAGTAAAAATAATATCAGAATGAACGGTATAACAAGCATTGAACAGCATGCTTGGGTTTAATTATTGTACATTTTAGGACTATAAAATTAGTTTCTTTCAATTTTCGAAAAATATTTTTATAAAAAAGGCTATAGAGGTTTTATATAAGTTGCTTATAATATCATAAGATCATGTGATATTCATGACAATTGTTAAAAAAAATCATGAGAGTTGGTTAGTTTTAAACAAAATTTAAATTCATTGAGTTAAAAAGTTTGATACTTCTACCTAAGAAAATATTTAAAAAAAGATGAATATAGGAAAACCGTAAGTAGAACATAAGAAAAACATGTATTTAGATAATGTCTGTAATTCTCACTAGCAACACTAGTGGCATCAATAAACAGTTGTGTAATTTTGTTGTCATTTGAATGCAATTATTTATTCTGATTGCGCGAAACAGAAACCACAATGCAATTGCGGTTTTGTATTAATGCTAAATGTACCTATGGGGTGTTGCACTTCGACTTTGAAATGTTGCAATTGACAAAAGCATTATATTTTTAATGTTATGTAAATACATACATGCTGTAAAGTATGAGACGAGGTAAAAAAATGGGAAGTATATATGTTAAACAAAATTTTTATACGAGTATTATTTACTGAAGTTATGTACAAATAGTACATAATGTTAAATGAAACTAATATTTTGAAGTGAAACTTCTCTAGGCGCATGAGAGAGAGTAAGATAGGGCGAACGTAGCATAAAGCAACTAGCCGTGGTGTGAGAGTAGGGAGCGAGCAAGTGAGAAAGATTGAGAGAAAAAATGAGACAGAGCGAATGTCGTATAACGTTTTAGATTTATATAAATATAAACAAGATTTATACATTAGTTCGTCAAAAGAAATTTCACTTCTGGCAATGTACTTTGTACGCACTCATTTTTTTTATTACTACCCGTTATTTAATTATATTAGCTAAATTACCTGACATTTCGATTATTTTACAGCGACCGTGATCACGGGCAGACGAGTTAAGCCACTCATTCTCTCGAAAATATTAGTTTCATTTAAATTAATACTTAGATGTCCTTAATTAATATATTAATGTGTTTTCTCTTTTTTCCAGATCTACAACCAAAGCACTATTTGGAACAAATCAGCGACATTCACTAAAACGTAAGTTACAAATTTCATTTACACCATTTTAATATCGTTTTTATTATTTAAATTCAATTTAACAAAAGTGTTTCTTAGATTTTATTAATGACTCAAAAACATTTAGTAATAGCATAGAATTTCACAGTACCGGTTAAATTTGTAAATAATTTTAAACATCGAAATTCTACCTCAAACAGACTGCAGGCATATTTTTAGACACTATTATATATTTTTATATTAAATCACAATATATATTATGTTCTGTGAATGCGTAAACATCCAAATAAAAAATATAAAGAGGATATGTAGGTATTAATTAAATTTACTCAAAGGAATTATTTAATTAATTCGTACATAGAAACGATAAATCACAAAGGGTTAGCATCGATAACACAACCTACATTGACGACAAAAGCGTTCGGGTTCTACTTAACTACAACGTTTAGTTTGTTATGACCCACTAACTCTTACCCTCACATCCACTTGCTTGAAAGTTGAATATATTGTAAACAATTTCAAATACGTCAGGTTATTAATAACAATTGATATTGCAACAGTAGATGAAACAATCTGCTTTTACACTATTCGAAACCCTTTACTAAACTAGGCCTCTTCTCAATGGAGAAATGGTGATTTCAAACTTATAATTCGAAATTATAAGTCCAAGTTTCCTCACGATTTTTTCCGTCACTGCATGCCAGTGGTATCTCAATACTCTTAGAAAGCATAAATAACCCGCAAGTTACATTGGTAGTTGCCAGGTATCGAACCTACACTCTCATGCATTAGAGGCGGGCCCTTAACCTTCAGGCCACCACCACTTACACTATTATGTGTGGGCATTATTATTATTTAGTTGATTGTAGTTTACCAAACTGGCTATAGTTTTGAACATAAAACTCATAATAAGAATGTACTCCTGTATTTTTAACAGCCTATCCTCATATTTCTCTTTCACCAATAAACTTTGTTAAATCTGAAATAAAGTGGAACTAACCTGTCTCAAGATTCAATTACTATTGTCAAACTAAATAACGTGAGTCTGTTAGGTACGTTCGGTTTGAAAGTTTCTCATAAATAATTCTTCTTACACAATGCATTTGCTAAACAAAGCCTTGAAATGTTAATAGTTTAAGCTGACAATGAAAACAAACTAACTATAAATTAACGAAAACCTATACTATGAAAATATTAAATAAAAAACTAATATAATTATGATTTTTAGATAGAATTCATACACATTGTATATAATAAACAGTAACATGATATTGAATATAACAAATACAAAGTTTATAAAAGCAATATATATGTGTCAATGAATTCTTTTATATAGAGATCACTCAATGTAACCGTTGTCACCAGCAGATAATTTATAGTCACCATTTATTTGCGATACTCCAGTCGTATAAAACCGACTTATCTCAGTTGACTTTGGATTTTTTTGTATGAAATAGACTGCTTTTCTTTTGTTAAAGAAATAGGTCGTATGAATCAAGATTTCAGAAAATCGTATTGAATTATACTTTATTATTTATCGTGTCACAAACATGTACAAATGAGTAGAATGTTTTTTATCGCTCAAGAATACGAAAGATTAAGCGCAGACAACGTATTATTCGCATATATCAGTGAAAACCTAATTATAACTGATTTTAACTACAAAAAAGAGCATATTCTATTAATAAAGGGTCATCAATTCTTAATGAAATACGTAATATTAATGAATCAGATAAATTCAAGGTATAATGTCAGGTTTCAATGTAAATTATTATTATTCAATATAAATTAGCCTCTCATTATTAAAATTACTTTTACTGCTATAATATTTAAAATAATATTTTAAAGATATTCATTTGTATTAAGAATAATATTTCGCAAAACAAAGTAAGGGGAATTATTTGAACATATTGCGCCCTTCACCGTAAAGGCCACTCCATACTGACAGCGTCACGAACAGATTGTTTATGACTGTTATTTATTTGCTATTCTGAAAAGATCGTCTGAAATATCTTACTTTGGAATCTATTGTATATTTCTATTTCATACATATACTACCGCTGAAAGAATAATTGTAATCTAAGTAATGTAATATACGTATTATGTAAATAGTATTTATATTTTACTAGTTTTTGCCCTCAACTTCGTCTGCGTTAGTTTCAGAATAAGGAATGTATAGCTAACCGGCGAAGTCTATTCTACCTTAAAGACAGTAGATAAGAAGATTTTGGATTTGATAAACTTTTTTTTTTTCTTTTTCAATAGGATGAAAGTATACTACATATATCCTTTCCCTTGTTCTAAGTTATCTCTCCAGCAATTTCAGCCAAACCCGTACAGCCGTTCTTGAGTTATAAATAGTGTAACTAACACGACTTTTTTATATATGTACATATAAAGATTATAAGGCGTTATATATGTATATAGTATACAAATTGTTTCGTATTTTATTAAAATATTTTATAATATTGAAGTATATTATTCATATTGAAGGATTAGTTAAACCATTATCTATCAATTATTTTAATATCAAGAATCCATTAGACCGAAACGCTAACTTTGATAATATAATTAGTTGTTCAGATCTTATCGGCAGAACGATTTCATTCTAGGATTAGAAATTAATTTGGATTTAATACTTTAAAGCTAAATAGAGAAATAATTTCCAATTTTTATGTCTTTAAATTTAATAGCCATAATCATCAGAACGCCTAAACGGTGTTTAATTTTTTTGTTTTTATATGTGTTCCGAAAATAATGACAATATTATAAGACGAAACATAGCATTCAATGTATTCACCGTTCGGGTGCAGGTCTATTGTTGTAGTGAGAGAAGCTTCAACAGTGCCTGGGACTTGCGACCCAGGTGTAGGTTTAAGAGGGCCCTATCTAACGCGCGTTGAACGCTCATCTCCACCGTTCAAGCTCCCCTTTCTACCCAACCAACAAAGTGCTTTGTAAATACGTCAATAGAAATTAAATGTTAATAAAACATTCTATGGATTATAAAAAGTTGAAGAGTCAACATTCAATAATATTTATGAAAAAAACTATTAAAGGCTTTATCCAAATAGAAGATTTAAGTAGTGATATGAAATATATTAAGATTATAAGTTCGTTACACGTACAATGCGTTTAATTATATTAAAATATAAACCAATAATGTAAAAATCACGTCACATATAATAAAATTGCCATATTAAGAAATTATTATCTTTAAGCCGATTTCTCTTGTCTTCAATCTGAATACAATGCAATACAATACGATTGTATTCTGATCAATTCATTAACTATAATATATTATTAAGAATAACATTAATTAAAAAGCTACTTATTTTCATTTAGCACAAGATTTTGTTTCTGTTAAAAACGGCCAATTCAATGATTGTAATCCAAACATCGTCTCCCAGACGGAGAGCAAATTGCAATTCGACCCAGCCAGCATAATTATATTCCGGACAGATTCGTGTAACGGTTAATGAACCTGTTAATAACATTGGACCTAACAGCTTTGGGATCAAATCAACTTGGATGGTAATTTCCATTCCGTAAATAGAGTGTCTGCTAGGGATAGTTGTCCTTTTTCAACTGCATTTTGTTTGAAGTGGGAATTACAAAATATACACTCATTACGCATACACATGCCCGTGCATATGTACATGCATACACACAAAACAGAAACGCACACACACGCACAAATACCATCAAACGCACACATACACACATACCATCACACACACAAAAGCCCAAGAAAAATAACGTAGTCTTCAGTTAGGATTAGTTTGAAGCTTTCTGTTTCTTTACAAATAAATTTTGCTACATCATAACGTCATATAATTATCCTCGTCATCATGTTAAAATTATTGCTTTAATGAAACCATATTTTAACATCACAGGATTCCTTAACTTAAATCCGCATGCATGTTGGTATATAAAAATATGATCTCCATAACTGATATAGAAGAATTTTATATATTCAAATCATGTAGGAATAAAAAAGAGAAAAATTTTCGTATTTCTTTCTAATGTGAAACGTATTTTTGTTCAGATTTAGATAAAAGAAGATTACGTCGAGCTCTCACTGATAATAGGCTGGTTATAACCCAACATTTTACTGAGAGAACCGTTACACCCGGTGGCGAAGTAAGTTATTTAATCATTTTCTCCATAAAACCCAAACTAAATTGTAAATATTAAAAATATAATATTTATTCAAAATATCCCACGTCAAAATCACAACATCAGTAGCAAATTGCTGCTCAAAGGAAAATTCCTAGCTTGTTGCATGTTATTGGCGCGAGTCATGTTTTGTTTTCATATTTTATTTATTGGAAAATGATTTTACATATGTTGAATTTTTCTGGTCATTTTTATAGAATATCTTATTGCTATTTGATTTATTATTACCTTATTTTCAGATAAGTATGCAATGTGCCGCCACTGGTGATAGACCTCCTCAGTTTGTTTGGGAGCGAGATGGAGTTACTGTTTCAAGCAACACAGATCCTAGGTATAGCATATTTCTAAGCTATTTCTTTAATCTGATACTTTTTAGGTGTCTTTTGACTTGTCCTAAATTTCGTTCTATTTACAATATAGTTGCCCCGTATGAATCTAATTTTAAAAACTTTTAAGAAAATAACTCTTGTCAATGCTAAATATTTCAAATTTTTTGATTATTAGATGGAAGATACTTTAGGTTTTAAAAGTTTTTTTTTCTGGCGTTTAAACAAATTAATCCATGAATAATTAATTACTTTTCATGAAAATATCATAAAGTTTTTAAATCGTTCAAAGAAATTTATCCCCAAAATTAAAACCAATTAGCTAGATAAGATCGTGCCAATCACACAGAGACCGCATGACATTCCGTTTCCAAATGCAATTCCGCGTCAGTGATATCGTTTAAAGCTATTCCGAGTTTATATCCAGCATAAACTTTATACTTCTTTTAAACATCAAAATAAAACTCTATATATTTCGTAGTTCTCTGCAATATAAACAAATAGGCATAACTTACTAGATTGTGTGACAATTAAATATTTTGACATAATTTTGACGTAATAGCCCAACTCAATATAACAAGGGTTCGAGTAGAAGATGGTGGATTATATGCTTGTATAGCGAAAGAAGGTGAACATGTAGCCAGCAGTGAGAACAGACTGGACTTTTATGGTAAATATAATCAGCTTTTCTGTATTTATATACAAAATTTAACAGAATTTCACACTTAATTTATTATTGTGTATTAGCAAACTGTGTGCCAATTAGTTGTATTATTCAGGTCCACCTTACATTCGGTCACTACCACCAGTTAAGGCACAGAGTGGTGAATCAATAAATCTCAGATGTACATTCTATGGATATCCCATAAGGTAATTATTATTGAAACTTACTAAGATGAGGCATTACTAAGAGTTTGAATGAAACTAATATTTTCGGATTACTACGAGTATTTTATAATAAATATTTAAAAATTATGTATTCCGACGTTTAGGTTACTTTGCGGCAAAAGTGATCAAGGGAGACGAGATGTTAGTTATTAATCCGAAGTTATTAGTTTCATTTAAATGAATACTCACGAAAGTATTATATCTCATTCTTACTTAGAGTTTTATGCCGTCTATTTTTTGGTAATTAATTTCTAACTGTCATTGTGACGCCGTTTAGCAATTTGAATACGTCATTTAATAACAAGATACACTCGCTTTATGCTCTTGTTTCTTTCAAACTAAACCAAAACTAATTGAAAAGTTTATTTCTTTGAACTTATGTTATGATAAAAATATATTTAAGACACATTTTATATCTATTCGATGACTTATATTTAATAAAATGAATTCTATCTCTCTCTCTGATTATAGCAAAATCGATTGAGAACACAAAGGCAAAACAGTTAACCTAAACAATCTTTTTCAAACACGTTATAAAAGAACACAAAATCACCAGAAAAGAAAATCAAGAAGAAGTATTGTCAATATACACGGAGTATTGACAATTCCTGAAGTAAATAAAGAAGATAATGGTGCTGTTTATACATACTTGTATAGTGACATCACCGTCTGCTGAAATGGTTAGACGTTCGTTTGAAATACAAGTTATAGAGGCACCTATTTTGGAGGATTTACTGCTTGGTAATAACCTACAGGAAGGTCAAATAGTAAATATTTATTGCAACTTACGAAGCGGTGATTTACAGATACATTTCGAATGGTTGAAAGACGGAAAGAGAATTTCAAGCAATTTGAAGGTATATTCGAGAATTCTGCACTTTATAATAATTGTTCTGAGAGATTTGTTTTTGTTTATGTATAGTAGATTGTAGATTTATTTATAAAAACTTTTTATATGGATTACATCATAATGCTATCAAAATTTTTGATCCATATATTTGTAACGGTTTAAAATATTAGCACTGAATTAAATGTACGCGTCAACTCAAAGGGACATTTCAATAGAATTAATTGCAATACACATCAATGCTATTGAACTAATGGAATGAATATTTGATTAAAAGCGTATAAAGCGCTATTTACATCAAATTACTCATATAGAAATTAGTCAATTACTTGATTGTAAATGAAAATAAAATTCAACAAAGTTATGTTCAGGTAGTCGAAAGAAGTTCGGAATTATTCAGTGCACTAGTGATCAAGAAAGTTGCATTGGAACATTGTGGTACATACACTTGCGTGGCATCCAACCACGTAGCGAAGGTCAATAAGTCTACGCAATTGTATATCAAAGGTAAATTTTTCACATTGGGCTTCATTTATTACTGCTCTGCAAATTTCCAAAATAATCATTCTGCTTATTGAATTGACAAATATTACGTGTTACACACAAAGAATTTATACACAAAGAAATTAAGGCAATATAAAAGTTATATAAAAATTATGAATTTTGTAACTATTTTTCCTTGTTTCAGTTGCGCCCAAATGGCTAGAAGAACCATCAAATTCGTCTCTCTTGCTCGGAAGAAAAGGCATTGTATCATGCAGTGCGAGCGGCTATCCACAACCACAAGTACATTGGATGAAAAAAGATGGTACAAAACAACAGTAATATTTGATCTCGGTATATTAAAGTGAATTGATATATATTCCATTTTTTACCAGCTCTTCTGGGTACTTGGCAACCTGTCCTTGAACTAGCTGGAGGAGGAATCCTAAGTCTTCCCAACGGAAGTCTTGTAATTGAAGAAGTTTCTTTGACAGACGAGGGCTTGTATTCGTGTAATGTGGAAAATGGTGTTGGAACACCATTGAGCAAAACCGTCTGGATGACAGTCAATAGTATGTAATTTATATAGAGAGTAAGATTTTTATTTTCATCTGATGATTAAATTGTGCCAACGTCAATTCACTATGTCCTAATCATGAGCTACCGCAGATTCATGTATTTTTACTTTTATTTATTAGAATATTTTTGAAAACTAATTGTTTTATTTTGAATTTTGATAAGCATTTGAAATCATGAGCAACATCGCTAATTTTTCCCTATACCCTAACCTATTTACTTATTGTTTATAAGATAACGTATGTATGTATAATATTTTAGAACCAGTGCACTTTGACACGGCATCAGCTAATGTGACATCACGACTTGGCCACGCCGTCTCTTTGGAATGTCGCGCGCTTGGTGATGACCCTATCAGAATCACATGGAATCATAATGGAAACAATATAGACTTCCAAAGTCACAGGTATGTCATAATGTTCCAATTTTTGACATTAGCTTTTTATCTAAAAAAGGAAATAACTTCAGATGAAGAAGTCTAAAATAATCGAAGAATCTATAATTCAAAAATATTTCACATAAGTATGTATAAAATTAAAATCCAATATAAAATACTTTTGGTTCAATGAATTTTTAGCAGTATTAAATTTCAATAAACACTAGGTCGTAATGATAGTAGGTAGTATAAAATCTAATCATCAAAACAAATAAAAATGCTCTTTCATAAATGTACATATATCGCTCATTAATCTTCAAAGAAATCGTATCAATTAAGAGTTAAATTATCCACAGAGCAAAACACTCAGAGACGAAAACCTCGCTCGGTGTAACCAGCACCATAAATATACAGTATTCAGAAACAGCCGACGCTGGCTTCTATCAATGTAGAGCGAGCAATCCGTATGGATCAGCTAGCTTCAACACATTCCTTACTATATTAGGTAAGTTGAGTTGTTTAACAAATACTGCAATTATTTTCTTTTTGAAGTCAAGAATATCCTTGCAATTTGACACCACATGACATTGACATTGAATTCTTTCACCAATCTAATAAAACTAAGAACTTTGCACTGATATTTAAAAAAGCAGATAAAATTTAATAATTAAATAATAAAAATATTAAAAAGAATTCAACAATTTTGTAAGCTCAAAATTTTAAGCTACCCAATAGTATGGAAATAATGTTCCCTTCATCTTTACATTACAAAAAAATCTGTTGAAGTTTCGACAATTTTAGTGCTTACCTGTTCATGAGTTAGCTATCAAAAATATCACAAATTAATAAAAACGTATACATAAATTTAATTATTACACACAGTTGGTCGTAAATAATATATATTAACTAGCTTTCCGCCCGCAGCTTCGCCGCGTGGAGTTCGGTTATATCGCGTTTCCAAGAGAACCTTTCAAAAGTCTGGGATAAAAACTATCCTATGTTCTTTCTCAAGGTCAACTCTATCTCTGTACCGAATTTCATTAAAATCAGTTCAGTGGTTTAGGCGTGAAAGCGTAGCAGACAGACAGACAGACAGACAGACAGACAGACAGAGTTACTTTCGCATTTATAATATTAGTAGGGATATTTGTTATCAACAGAACCCCCCACCCCTCCAGCCGAACTCAGAGTAGAATCAGTTAGATCTCGTACAGCATCAGTTTCATGGAGAGACGGAGCACACGCCGAGTATTACACATTACAACACACGCCCGCTCATTACGCCGATGACTGGGAATACGCCGTTAGTCTTAATATTACGAGGTAGGTGCTATACTAATATATAATGAAAGGAATATGGAATAAAAACTTGAAAATGATCGTATAAAGAATACTTGAATTATAAGTTGTATTAATGACATCTAATTAATAATGAGAAAAAAATATATATTTTATTAAAATATATTATTGTATTTAGGTATGGTAGATTGTTATCTTTACAAAAAAAATATTACCTTTTGAAGGCTTTCTGCCAAATTTCGATTATTACATTAAGTTATAAATGTTATGATTATTAATACTAGAAAAATAATATATATTATGTATATATAATACCTATGTATTTTTGGAAAAATATACAAGGAAAGGCAACGACATTCGTCAAACGATAGAACTACAGAATATCCGACCTGCGACGGCTTACGCGGTGCGAGTAGCAACTGGTAATGAAGTGGGTGTCAGTCGTTTTACGGCGCCTGTACATTTTACGCCTGTACATTTTACGGCGCCTGTACAATTTTTGTCCAAATCCGTACGGCCGTTCTTGAGTTATATATAGGTTAGAGGTATAATTGGGAGAGGAATAGCTCAAAAGAGAAAAGTTGATTTAATCCAAAACCTTCTTATCTACAGTCTTTATTGCAAAAATAGAGTTCGCCCGGTTTCATACATTTCTAATTCCTGAACTAACGCAGACGAAGTCGTGGGCGAAAACTAGTAAGTAATAAACAAAGAAAAATCCTCGACATGATGATGTTTTGGTGAAACAGACAGACTAACTGATATATCAAATGGAGCAAAACCGTAATTATTAAGTATATCTTTGTAATGATAAGGTAAAGATTTTTGATTTTACCTCCTTCCATAGTATCTTGAAATACTGGAATCGAAAATGGACCTGAACCGGCGCTGTTGAAAGCTGATACGGAAACAGCATATCTGAAAAATAAAACTTTAAGGTAAGTATCAGTAGACTGTTTTCATTCAGTCATTCTATTTGTCAGACATTTAGCAGTTTAAATGAGAGTTACTTCGAGATTCTGAATATTAGAGTAGTATTGACATATAATTGATTGTCTTTATCTTAATCTATAAAATGTACTCCCTTAATATTACAAATTAAAGTTCCTCCAACACCAAATAGTAAAAAATGATTAGTAATGAAAATTTCCCATCTACCTGGTATTTTTGAGTAGACCACTGATAACTGTTTCTTGTTTTCCGGATAACTTTGACAATTTCAAAGTCCTTGTATCAGTGTCTGCTAAAACTAAAAAAAAGTATTAATTTCAATAAATTTGCATTTCCAACATTGCATAATTAATGAGATCTATGATTTTCGCGAGTACTCATTTAAATGACACTAATATTTTCGGATTTTACTTCGGACTCACATCTCGTCTGCCCGTGATCACGGTTGCTGAAAAGTAGCCGAAACGTCGGGATCATCAATAAATTTATAATCAAAATAAATAAACGAAGTAAAATTCGAAAATATTAGTTTCATTTAAATTGCATAATTAAGTTGAGGAGTTCTTAGGAGGACTTACTAGATGATCCTTTTTGTGGCACAGCCTTTACATGATAGCCTGTTATCATTCCATTGTGAGTGTCTAGGCGGAGGAAGCCAGGAGACGAATAGTTCTCCAGGATTGTCGTCTTACATTACTTCTTACATTACTTCTTTAGGTATATTGCTACAATGGTTACCCTTTTAATATTTAAATAATAAATGAATACAGGAATAATGTTCATTCATTATTTAAATGAATAAAGTTGTGGAATGTTCTGAATTTCTCTTACTATTATTTGTTCCCAGTTGTGGTCGGAGTCGCATCATTAGGTGGCACCATATCAGTGGGAGTCAGTTCATCCTTACTAATCGTGTGTCAATGTGTCGGAGTACCACCACCTCGCACTGTGTGGTACCACAAACATAATATAATAACACATCATCCGAGATTCACGAGGAATCATGACGACAGCTTGCTGATTAACAGTAAGTGGTGTATAGAAGATTATACAAATGATTTTATATTTTTAGGCCCATTTATTGTTTGATAGAGTAATGACGATTAATTAATGAAGTGCCTTTGAAGTTAAAACCAAACAAAGCGAATTTTCCGTACATTTAATTCAATCTCAAACCTTCCAAAATTCCTATATTTTTTGGGATAACAACATACTTCAAAACACAACACCTTTAGGTAACTTGATTATCGCTTGTCGAACATTCTTGTATACGGAATTAAAAACTATTGTATCTACATATATTATACTTAGACTTGTATTACTTAATGGGCACCCAAAAACCTGTATTCAGTTCATGTATTTTGTAATTAATTAATATTTTTTTGTTATGATTTCCAGACATAGACCAATCCCTGAGCGGCAACTACACATGTCTTGCAAAGAATCTGTATGGTTCTGATTCAGTGGAGTACACCGTAGTAGTTCTACCGCTGCCCGAAGCACCAACACTACGAGCCACGCCATACAAAGACTCGATATTAGTTGAATGGGAACAACCTTATAATAGCATCAGTAACCGTAGCTCGAACCAGAAAATTAGTAAGTTGGTTTGTGAATACACTAGCTTATCGCCCGCAGCTACGCCCGCTTGGAGTTCGGTATATCGCGTTTCCAAGAGAACCTTCCAAAAGTCTGGGAAAAAAACTATCCTATGTTCCTTCTCAAGATCAACTCTATCTTTGTACCAAATTTCATTATAATCAGTTCAGTGGCTTAGGCGTGAAAGCGTAACAGATATACAGACAGACAGAGTTACTTTCGCATTTATAATATTACTTATTAGTAGGGATTTAAGAATCACTATAGGATAAAATAGCGATATATTCATGTCTGTGAAGTATGGAAATGAAATTAAATATGTGTTGATAAAAGAATTTAAATTTTAGCATCCAACTCAATAATTGAACTTCTAAGTCTATGAAAGTACTCGTAGATATAACTGAAAAAGATTCAAAAATAAACTTGCCTCGACTATCGTACTATACGCGAAATAATAAGAATGTTAGCTGTTATTTTATCCTGTTTCCATTAATTCACAATTTCTATAATATAATAATAAAATGGACAAATAATTGACAATGATAGTCATTATCTAATCCTACATTTTTCAGCTTATAGCCTAACATGGAAAGAAGCAAGCGGTCCGTGGCAAGAAGTGTGGTCACCAAACAAAGTACCTAATAAATTATCAAACCTCTCTGGAGTTCAAAACATGCGCTGACTGGTCTTAAATGTGGCACGAAATATTCTTTGAGGATCACAGCTACTAACAAAGTTGGTACATCACAACCAGCGTATTTGGATGTTAGCACGTTGGGCGGACGTAAGCATACTTAATACATACATGACGTCGATTTCCATATACACATATATTCTCATATTATGTATAATTTCATCAAACATTTAATCACATTACATATAATCACTCGATATTTCTTGCAAAATGTGATCATATTTTAATCATCCTTTTTTTTGCTATAATACTAATAACCATACAATAATAAGTCATTGGTGGCCTAGTGCTTAAAGGCCCATTTCTCGTATAGGGCACGGGTTCGATCTTGGCAAGTACCAATGTGATTTTTTTCGAGTCATATGGAGGTACTTTCCTTTAACAAGATGCCTTGTTCAGCAGTGGTCTCTGATAGGTCGAGGACGCTACATTAATATTCGTATCTTAATCTTTTAGCTCCCATCGCTCCTACGTCAACGGAGTGGTTCTGGAGCAACTGTTCCCACGTGATCATTCAGGCCGCTGGTTGAGATGACGCGGGATGTGAGCTCCGAACGTTGGAGCTAGGACACCGGGCTCTTGGAGCGAGGAGCTGGATGAGGCCTATCAATATATTAGTAATGTTACATACTAGTATTAAAATGATTTATATAAATGACGTTTGATAGAAAACGAGCGCTGATTATAGCGATTTAATAAGACTGTGTTTTGATATAAGATTCTTAAAATTTATGGATGTACTTAGTTGTGCTTTGAATAATAAAGAATATAAGGAATATTAACTGTACAAAAACTGTCATTTATAGCAATTATTTGCCCGTGACAATGGTGTAATGCTATTTCTTTCTTTTAATAACTTGGACATTATATAACCTTTGCAATATAAATTATGGATATATAAAACTATACACCTGTGATGATATGCGTGAATAATTTTATTATAATCGTAGAAGTAGCAAATTAGTGAAGGATTAACAAAAAAAATGAATTATTTTTAAGCCAATATCTCACTTGTTTATTCATACGTGTCTGACAAAAACGTCACATATGATGCCTAATTTTAAAAATAACTTATTTCAATTAATATTTATATTTACGTTTAAACTTAATTTTTTCTTTACTCACTTTTCAATCAAATATACTATCATGACCTATACAATATTCCTACGAAACTATTTTGCCTATACACAAAACTATTTATTTATTGCCACATCTAACATATATTCCCTGCTACAACACTATATTCCCAAGGTTTCCTCGTCAGTCATACACGGGTCACCTCTACCAGTATCGAGGCTCGTTCGCTCTATCAGGCCTGTCCGCCGGCACCTGGTACGTGTTACGTATCACAGCCACCAACGAGGCGGGGAGCGTCACCACCGTTTACAACTACGCGACTAAGAACGAGGATGGCAGTGAGTTAGCAATTTAATGTGTGATATAACTGTATTATTACGTTCAGAAGAATGAATAACTTAAAAAAATACTAATTACAAACGAAAAATTTAATAGTTCTTACAAATTTCTAAAGGTTTTTAGTGTGATACTAATATACAACGATGATTGATACCTCACAGAATGTAACAATGTGATTATAAAATAAATCACGATACCGAATTTATAGAGCTCTGACTGTTACAAATGTTCACGAGCAATAAAAAGACTCGATACAAGACTACAGATCTTTATAAAAATAATTTATGGGTACTTTAGTGAATCAAAGTGAGCGTTACTTATTATATAACAATTTTCGCCCGCGTGGAGTTTGGTTATATCGCGTTTTCAAGAGAACTTTTCAAAGGTCTGGGTAAAAAACTATCCTATGTTCTTTCTCAAGGTCAACTCTATCTGTGTACCAAATTTCATTAAAATCAGTTCAGTGGCTTAGGCGTGAAAACGTAACAGACAGACAGACAGAGTTACTTTCGCATTTATAATATTAGAAGGGATTGTATAGAATAAAACATATCGTATGTTTGAGTCTAAAAATTGAAAGTCATGATTTTAGAGAGACACAAAAAATAGTTAGAAATTTTTTATTTAATGACCCTTTTTATTATTTTACAGGTGAAGTTGGTCCTCCGTCGGAAATTTTCGACATCAACATGTTGGTGATAGTCTTAAGCTCAATTCTCCTAGCTGTCTGTCTTATCTGCTGTGCTTATATTCTAGTTAAGAGGCAACGGTAAGTCTTACATGTCCAAGAATCTAACTGAATTTAAGCATTTTTAATAAAGTTTTTACTTCAAAGTAAAAAGTATATATATATATATATATATATATATATATATATATATATATATAATTTCATGCACTAGCTATGAAATTAAGCGAGAAAGAAAATGTGCGCACGCACGGCTCTTTTCCTTGGCCCTACAATAATATACAACCGTAACACACTCTATCTGTCTATCTTCACTTACTTACATCTCCCTCTCACTGTCGTTCGCCTCGTTCGATCACACTTTTCGTAACCCTTTCGTAACGCATTCACCAGCTTACTCCCAAGTCAAGCGTGCGTAAAGGAGTTTTACTTTAAAACCGTAAGCAGTATGTATATCTGTATCTACAAACATGAAGTAACCAGAGCGAATAACCCAAGTAACGTATAAAGGAGTTGATAGTTTGAAACTTAATCGAATATGTTTTTCAGTAATGTCAACTTAACGGGATACCGCGACTCAATAACGGTCGACAAATCTGAAAGTGGCAACATAACAGCTAACACATCACACAGTAACCTAGCGAATGTTAAAGAGAACTCAATGAACGCTCAGAACAGAATATACAGCGCTCCGATACATGTTAGAAATAATAGTAAACATGGTGAGTAATATTATAAATAATTAATACAAATATTATAAATATGGATTTTTTTATAAAAAGATTTGATAATAAATGTTGCATTTGTTTTTTTTTATATTCAATGTAAGATGTTTACTGTGGACCTATACTGATATATTAGCGTAATGAAAAAATAATATTTGTACGACCAAGTTCTAAGACGGATTTCTTTTGCACGAAAACTCTAGAATTCAACACTTTTATTTGAAACATTCAAACGATTCTTTCTATCTCTATATTTAAGTATGTATTTTAATAATTTTGTCCTAAACTATAGCTATATTATTTCCGAGTTATACGAGATAAGTCCTTACGCGCAATTCGCTGTCGGCTTTCGAACGTTTGGTCACGCTGAAAACAATGACGTGCCGAGACACATCAAACACAGATATGATACCGGTAGTGAGGACAACGAAACAAGATAAAATATAATAACAAACTAATATAATGAATGTACCACTTATTAATATTTATGAAACCAATCAATTTAAAATATACGTTACTACTACTACAGTTAAACAAAAAAATTCATACTTATATTTGTTAAATTTCGTATATACCATTATAAAAAAAAATACGATACGTAAAGATTAAAAACAGAACATCTCTTTTGTGAACTTTTTGCATTCAAAAAACGTAAATTAAAGTTATAATCAAAACGTCGGCATTTCTTAATGTTTCCGTTAGTAGTTAAACTACATATAAGTATGTAAAATTCACTTTCACCATTGAACTTATTTTAGTTTTTATATATTTTTACAGAAACGAGTTTTCAAGTTTGCTCCGAGTCAGAAGACAGTGACAGCATATCAAAATCAACCCTCAAGAGCGTACCGAGAAGTAAGTTACGTCTGTATCCCTACTAATATTATAAATGCGAAAGTAACTCTGTCTGTCTGTCTGTTACGCTTTCACGCCTAAACCACTGAACTGATTTTAATGAAATTTGGTACAGAAATGGAGCTGACCTTGAGAAAGAACATAGGATAGTTTTTATGCCAGACTTTTGAAAGGTTCTCTTGGAAACTCGATATAACCGAAGTCCACGCGGGCAAAGCTGTGGGCGGGAAGCTAGTTATATACTAGCATATATAAAAAGTTGTGTTACTATTCATAACTAAAGAACGGCTGTACGGATTTGGTTGGAAATTTGTGGGGAGTTTGGAATCAAGAGACGGACATAGGATACTTTTGAATTCGTTCGACCTAAAAATAATAATTTGCTATAATAAAATCCAAAATCTGTTAGTCTGGTCAGCGATACATTTCTAATTATGAAACTAGCGCGGACAAAGTCGCGATCAAAAGCTAGTTTATTTATAAAATTAATACAATTACGCTAAATTTACTTCTTTACTTAATTTGTCAATGTAAACATAAAGTAAATTTTAAAATGTTTGCCCTAAATTGAACACTTGATAGTTTAATGCTATATCTAATACTAAATCAATGACGATTGACAGGTCTTATAAGAAACGGAACGTAATTTCTGCCAATACCTTACTCCATGTTTGAATTGCCACTACATACGAGGAATTTTCAGTATTTCATATTATATAAACTATCCAGTTAATATTTACGAGAGACAAATTAGAAACTTTCAGTTTGTAGTTTAATGATACTATGTTATTAAGGAATTTAACTATGACGTGAGAACAAATACTTAAAAATATTGGCCTACTATGTACTAATAATTATCTTTATGAATAAAAGTAATATTTTCTGTTTTATACAACATACTCCCGACGTTTTGGTTAATTTGCAACAGACGAGATGAAAATGTCTGCTAGTTTTTCTTGTTATTTGTCATCTTCAGCCAAAGAATTCTTAATTTCCTAGCGTGGAAATTAATTTTCATCTCGTCTGCTCGTGATCAAAGGTATATAAAGTATGTACCTACTTGTGTCATACATAATTTTTCCAACTTCCGTCTAAAGCTCGTGCTGTTATTTCAACAACCTTGCACATGATTAAAATATGCGTATATATATGACAAAGCATCATATAAATATATGAAACCGCCATACGATCCATGTTTAACTCTATCTTAGATGTTATTGTTAGTATGACATCGGAATATAATTAAAAATGTTAATTTCAAATCCAATCGTAACGGCCAACATATTTGAAGATAAAATCTGTACCTTATAACTGTTTTCTCCTATTTATCTTAGCTTGATAATTTTTTCCTATGTTAAAAATAATTTAATATTGAAATTTTTTCAATGAACTTGATATAATATAAATTACGTGGGTGTAAACACTATTCAAATAATACTCACTGTTTTTGTTCATTTGTTCACAGAAGCGTGTCGTTTGCCGCATCATAGGTAACTAGATAGAACAATCTAGGAATCAAATTCCACAGACCATGTACATTTTCATTGTAAATAAATACACTTTGTTTAGAAACAAAGTTATCATGTTTTTTTTAAGGCAAAAGTGGCGCGACTTTTTTTCTCGCGTCAGAGTCTAGTCTTTTTACAAAATGGCTTCGCTGAAAATAATTTCCATGTGTCATTCAACAGACGTTCATAAGTTTGTATTATTTAAAAAAGACCACTTTTGCCTTTATTTTACTGCTATTCGATGAGGTATGTTCATATTTAAAACTTATCAAAATATATTTATAAAGTAATAAATAATTTAATTGTTAATTTTTTGTTATATTTGTTAATATAGGTTATGTGATTTTAATATATTTAAGCTAAGTAACCATCTTTTTTTATGATTATAAGAAGTCTAAGATTATAACTCTTTTCTCGAAAACGTGTAAATTGTAAAAAGTACAGTCAAAACTCTTTTCTGCTATTCCATTATCTCTTGAGAAGATAAATGAAGGGAGATCTCACGCTGTTTTCTTGTAATAAATTCTAATATTATGTAAATCATATGATTGAAATCCTAATTCACATATGTTTATAAAATTATGTCATTAAAAATATCATTTTGGTTGAATAAGAATAATATTTCTTAATAATTTATTCATGTGAAATTGTAAAACAGCTGAAGGCTAAATAAGTTTTAAAAATTCTAGTGTATCTTTTTTTTTGGAGAATGTTACAGGTTTATATCTTAAATTTGATAAAAGGTTACGAATCATGCTGTGACCAGATATTTTGACCTTTAGGTAATATGCTTTGGTAAATTAAAGGATTTCTAAGAATCGTAAATGTAAGACAATATCCGTATAATATTCTTATTGAATCCAATATTGTTTTTGCGTAGTCAGGTTTCTTCTCAGTAAAGCTTAGTGGGGTGAGAAACCTCAAAATGATAGGTAATGCAAATAAAAAAAGAATTTGGTAGACAGTTCATTACTTATCTTTAATATAGAAAATCATATTTTGAATTCTACAATAAACTTATAATTTACTTGAACTCTGACTTGTTTTGATACATTTACACCAAACTACATATCTACATTAGAACAATAGAAATATTGATATAACACTTATATGTACATACATAGAAATATGGGATTAAAAAATTAAATTCTCTTTCTAAAAGAAATTTATCAAGTCAATATTATATTATAATTATATGAAAAGAAAACATATGGTAAATGCAATCTTATCAAGGTTATATAATAATTAAGACTATTATAGCTTAAATATATTAATTGATACTATTCTGGGTTTATCAATTTGCATTGCAATCATAGCTTTGTTGTTGACTAAGTCTACAACGAAAGTCTTTATAAATCTGTTACCGAAAATTATTTTCCAGTAAGGTTCAACAAGAGTTTTAGATTTCTTGCCAATCCACAAAAACATAGGACATATGAATGTACTTATTATACAATAAACTTTTTGTTACTAAAGAGTTCTAAACCTGAAATAAAAAAGAATTACATTAACAATGTTTCTAACTGGCCAATTCGTAACATCTTCATTTATTAATAAATCTTTATATTCATTTTCCAGAGTACTAAATCGTCGTGTAAACCGGACAAGTCGACTCAACAATGACTGAATTAAAGACAAGAAAAACTAGATGTCGCACTATTAAAATTTTTAAAAATAAGCAATTTTTTGATATCCTTCTTAAAATGTAGTAAGAAATGGATATACCATGTATTATATATATATGTATATTTTAAATTCTAATTTCAAAAACTCGGGTATGAGTAGATTAAATTAGTGTTTTTTTAAAAAAACTTTAAATTATATTACAAACATCACTCACACTTTTATATTATTTGCAAATATACATATGTACCTATTATACCTATTTCAAATATTTTTTTTAATGTATCTGTTTGTGGTTTTGCAACATTAATATAGAATATAATATTCAATTTTGCATTACCTATTAAGTTAAAACATAAATCATAATTTATTTCAAATTAGATATAATTTTATGAACTCATATAGGACTTATTATGTTACATGTAAAAAAAACTGCTATTGTTGTAAAGGTTTGTTTAAATATGTTTTACATAGTGATTATAAGATATTTACATAGTGATTTTATAAATATTCGTGTAGCTGAAGAGTAAATAAATTAAAACATGTATAATATGCATTCATTAACATCATTGTCTATCTACTATTTAAAATTAAAGGAAAAAGAGACAGTAGTTACAATTAAAAGCAATTTATTTTATAAAAATAAAATATTATGAAGTTAATGAAATAAGTCTAGTAAGAGTTTATATAATGAACTACATATTTAGTGGCTTTTATTTTTGGTATGCATAAATAATTTAGGAAGTCTTATAAATTTTTATGAGGAATATTAAAATAAATTTATATAAGTGCAGAAAAAGTCCTTTAAATTATTAAAATATTAAAAATGTATTAAATAATAGAACCTCAATCTAATTCTACCTTGTAAAGCAAATAAATGTATCTTTAGATAAGTGCTCAGAATCTTGATTGAATGTAGCTTCATTAAGTTTTGGTATGTTCACATGGAAGGGAAGAAAGTGTGAATTAAAATATATATCTTTTTAAATTCTTTTTATATTGAATATTATATAGCTTATTTAAATTTAAGATAAGTATACTATGGTAAATGACAAACCATTTATGTATATTGATAAGGACATACAATGATTCAATATTAAAATTTAGCAACAGAAGGTACAATTTTCATATCTTCATGTTCTCAAGATCTAGAAAGTTTTAAAATTTATATGATTTTTTTTATAAATAAAGATTTTTTTTAAATAATTTTTTTAAAGTTTAAAGACTACGTATTTTCCTTTCTTCGCATGAATTAAACTGTCTATAGGACAACACAATATAGATAATCTCTATAAATATTCGACATGTTCCCTTGTATGTAACAGACGAACATCGCTAATGGATCACATCAAAGTGACTGCAAGCATTTAGAACGAGTGACATAGTGAAATTAAATAGAGGAAAATGATTTAGGAATTGCCGTTTCATATTACGAGGACATTGAATATAATTAT